CAAGTCCTTAGCAAAAACTGTCTGGGGTAAATGTAGGCTTATTCTGTCCTCTGTTACCTCATTTGATACCTAGTCCTGGGCTTCTTTAACCCACAAAGAAAGTTGCTTAGATGAGGCCTGGAAAAGGACACATAAATGACACCAGAGAGAAACGGACTGATCCATACAAATCTATTTGCTCAGTTTTAGTGTCACTGCTGTCTGATCCAGCAGACAAGACAAAGCTATTATGGGAAGGCAACAGGAGAGCATAAAAGGAAGGCGAGGCTGAGAGATCTGGGGTGGGTAGGGGTGCAATAGGAAAACTGCATTTGGTGGGACAACACTAAAGCCAAAAGGAACAGATGACAGATCCCAACCTTCAGTTCCTCAAATTGAGATTCCACTGAAAAAAGGCTGGGAAACCACTGAGCTGCACCAGTGAGAAGAATCATGAAAAATATAACATTTTTAGGAGTGGTGAGGGCTCTGAGGAGTGCTTTACTTCTTTCATGAAAATTCAGAAGCTTAACCAGCCTCCTGGTACAAACACACTTACAGGTTGATGTAGAAAGCATATGGTACAAAGCTGAGTAATTGCTAGAGACTTGTTTGTCCTCACTAGCATGGAAGGTGTATTTCCTATTCCACAAAGAGACACCACATGTAGCTTTGAAAGGCACAGTGCAACTACATTGGCACTTGTTACCTGAACTTCGAAAACAGGACAAACCAAGAGTGAAAACTGGCATCTGGCTGAGGGGGAAGTGACACCTCCTTTAATTTCTTGTGCCACAGCTCATGACAGCAACACTGTACACAGCATTTGCACCCTCTGCTATGTCAGAGTATTCTCAATGTGTGTTATGGCAGGAAATACCTTTTATGTCCATTGGGTAAAATGCTTACTGGAGTTCCAGGAAGAGATGGATTTTGATGCTAAGTACTGTAGTATTCTGTGACTGAAACATGACTTGCTTTGTATCAACAAAACAGGAAATACTTATGTCATTGCTAATCTGGTGGTTGCATTCTGGTGGTAGCCAATTTCTGTTTCTGGTTTTAATTGTTTGCCTTGGTTCAGTCTTTCAATAATATATTGTTAAATAAAAACCTGAAATATGTTAACACTTAAGATGTTTTTGCTTATATTGCAGGTGCAACACTGAAGAATCAATTTTTAGATATGGATGCTGCCCCCTCAAGTGTAATATAGCTTGACATAGTTCCATGATGTACCGGTGTCAGAATCAATCAACGAGAATTTCAATCTAAAGATCCCAAAAGAGAAGATGCAACAGAAAATCATGCTGGTCTGTCTAACTAATAAAGTTAGGAGTCCCTGTAACCACACACCCCCAAAGCCATGTTTGCAGATGGGTTGTAACTAAACCAAACCAAACTTCAGCAGGATTTTGGAAGAAGTCATGCCATGACAGGGAGGTTTAAAAAGAAAGATAGCATATTTCTGACACATTGTGCCACACAACTGAAAATACCCCTCTATTATTAAAACACAAGTATGTGCAGAATGAGCATCCACTTGGGCAGTTGTTATGATAAAGAGGTAAAATTGTCTTCTGTTGTACTAATTTTTCTTATATTTTAGATAAATGCTTTATATATTTTATGGCAACTGTTAACCACCTTAAAGCAACAAGGTTCTGGACTGTAGATTACATTTACTGCCTGGGGAAAGGTATTTTGTAAACATAGAAATGAAAATATCAGGAAGCATAATAGAGTATGCCCTATATTGTCCAAAGACATGTATTTACCATGTAGCAGAAATGACGAATAGGATAAACAGGAACACTTGAAAAATCACCATCTAAAGATAACTTCTTTGATTCTGTGTTAAAGAAGAGAAAATACGCTGTTTATATCCATGATAATAACTGACTTCATATTATACAAAGTCTTCTTTACCAATTTAAAAACCAGACTCGGAGTACTCAGTGGGATACTTTGTTAACTCAGTTTTTGGGGGGTTTTGTGGCACCCTTGGAGCCAGTTAAATGGAGCAGTGATTATTTTCATACCCAGATCAAACCTCATCTTGGTGACCTGCTCTGAGAATAAACTGAAACAAGAACTGTGCTTTCTAGATGGACCCAGATGATCAAATGGTTCCATCTGCCCACAGTATGTTTAAGAGATCTTAACAACCTCCTCATCTAGTATCCTGCCTCAGACAGTGTTTAAAGATAGTATCTTTGCCCTGAGCTTTTCTGTACTGGGGGGAAAAGTGGAAGAAGGACTGATGGGGCTGGGGACTGAAGCAAGAGGAAAATAATTCCTTCGTGACTCAACAGTGAGCTCACACCTTGGTAAAGAAGAATTAACTTTACTCCTAAAATTCACTGAAGCAGGGAGGAATTAATCTCATACAGCTTCTTTCACTGAGTTAACAGCCTGTGCTATGTCTATAGTAAAGAGAAGGCAGTAAGTAACTACACAGGTTGATGAAAGACCCTCCAGAAATATTCCACACTTTCTATTGACAATATGAGGTTTCCAGACAAATACCTTAGATCAGATGCCTGAATTCTGATGTCTCAAGTTGTTTTCTATCTTAAATCATTCATAATGCCAGGAATATATAACAACAGTATTTAAACAATGTCAGGATTTTAACGATGTCTGTAGAATCTGCATTTTAAAAAAGCATAATGCACCAAGCCTATGATGATCTAAGATGAAATCATATCCCCCAGATATGGCACACACTCTATGATTATCAAAGAGGTTCTCTCGCTAACACCCCAAGACTGCCAATACAAGTTGACTTTCAGAATGCTGTCAATTTACCACAAACATCTCCTGAAAATATAGATTATAGGCACCCAAGGCTAGTTTCCATGGCACAAAACTAAGTCTCTGAGGACTGCTAAGATCAGCCTAATCAGATAATAATAAACACAGGGCTTAACATTCCAGTGACAGAGTCTGTACAAAAACTAGCTGTTCCTCACACAAGTGATCCCTTTCCTTTTGTAATTACTACACTAACCTCCTTCACTACCCTCAACTCATCAACGTTCTCTTGAAACACAGTATGCAGAGCTTCAAGGGAGCTGAGACAGAATTTCTCAATCCTGTAGCATACTGCACATCTCTTCCCTGGATTTCAGGCTGAGTAACCAACACCATGGTGGAAAGGTAACAGGAGGAGAAAAGTCACTTTGCTGCCATGTAACAAAGGAGACAGTCTTTCAAAAGGGCACTATCATTTCTCCTGCCTTAGAAGCACGGAACAACAACTGATTTTCTAACATTGCGTATCTCCCCAACTGGGGTCCTCTTTCTCCTGGTGCTTCTCCCTCTAAGTCTTACACATCTCTCAGCGCTACCCAGTCCCTGCTGCTGCTTACATTAAAAATATGCAGACCTCCTTTTCCTGTATTCTCTGCCCTTCATGTAGAGAAGCAAACAGCTTCTTTCTGTAGGACTCCTTCTGCTCTCCTCACTAACTTCAAAGCTGGGCTCTAGGGCAGTGGTTCCATTGTGACACAAACCACAGGAACAAGGGCAGACAGGAAAGATTGGCTTTCATTCCTCTTATGCAGGCCCAACATTGACAGCCATGAATCCGTGTGAATATTCAACTTCTGATGCAGTGTGTAGCTGTGAGAACAAGTTTCTTCAGAATGCTTTCAGCCTAACATACTCTCATTCCCCTTCGGTGTTAGATGGCTGGAAAGATATTTTTAAAAAGCTGTATTCTGCTAAAGACATAAATCCTTGGCATTCCTTCTTTTAATGCAGCATTCACTGGCGCTTCAGAGGTGGTTTAGGAACTCCCAGCACATAGACCAAGTACCCGAGTATCCTTAATAAAACTCCATTTACTGCTTTGAAAGGAGAGAATTCATCATTCACTCACCACTTTACAGAACTGGAGTAAAGATAAGCTCACAGTAGTATAAATGTCTGGAAAAATGTAGGAAGAAATATCAGACCTACATGAACTGTCAGGTAAGTGTTCTTTCCAAAAACAAGGTATTAAAACTGCATTCAGGTACTCCAGTCAAATGTAAGTGATGTGAACTTGGCAACAAGTCCTACAGTAATATGTTGCTTCACTTACCATATTTCACTGTCTAAGTAAGTCACAGCATTTGCAGCAAACACACAGAATGCACAATAAAGTTGCAGGTAAACTGAGGGATATTTAAGAGAGAACAATGTTACACATTCTGGCTTCCACTTTATGAAAAGGATAAAAACCAGCTGCATTCTTGGATGGACAATGTACATGCATGGTACAGTCCAGTATATATACATATATGTGTGTGTATATATATATATACACACACCTGCATAACTAGTGTGTATACACACCTAAAAAGAGGGTTTTTGCAAACTTATTAAGTTCAAGAATAGGAAAGAAACCTGAACCAGGCAACACTGAAAAGTCTGAGTAGCAGATTAATAAAATGTTTAGTACATCTATGATTTATTATGTAACTAAAATACATGCATTTATATGCTGTTTAATGTATTTTGTTAACTATTTTTCATATGTGCCATATCTGATGTACATATGCTTTATGTATTATATTTTAGGTACCATATTCTACATTACATATTAAAGTCACTTGGATTCGATGTTATGTTTGGTCTCTAATCAACATTACTTTATTGTTTCACATGACATTAATGAATCGCTGTTTACCAGTACTGCACATTTGTTATTCAGGAAAAAAAAACCCTTCTGCCTATATCAGAAGCTCATAGAGGCAAAAGTCATTATTTCTCTATTCTTCTCTGTGTAGGAAAACCCAGCCTATCAGTCAATCAGCACTGGGAGATTCAGAATACCAAGATCAAAATACTACCTACTGTAATCTTACCCTGAGGAAGTTAATAGAATATCAAGTGTGTGTGATTTGGAGAGTGGATTAGTTTCTAAACATAGCCACTTACTGCATTGAGAAGTGTCATATAAAAGAAGGGAAGTTCTGTCCTCTCTGAGGAATTAGTCCTGACCTAATTGTTTAACAGAAGCTCATCCCTACCTTTTACAGCATGCTTCATAAATTAGCTGGTTGACTCCTCAAAGAAAGTAGTAATTTCCAGGCACATCCAGGTGTCCCCTCTTCATAAGTCTCAACTGTCTGAAGAAATAAAGAAAATAAATTAAATCTCGCACAAGAGTGCTCAGACTAGAGTTTGAAGCTTTAGGCCAACTAAGTGTATAAGCACATTATATGTGCCTTGTCTTTTTAACTGTGGGAAACTATTTGATTAAAAGGATGTTTACAACTAATTCAACATTTCAGCAAGATAAAGATGCATCAATTCAAGTTGAAAAAACACACTTCTCAAGTCAGTTTTCTATAGCCATGTTTTAAATGTATCTATACAACTCTCATCTTTATGAATATGTTAGTACAACACAGTAAGTTACGTCAATTATTACCACAATGGGACTATTGAAAATAATGTTATTACACTACTGTAAAACTATTGTTAACCTGTATTCTACCATTTTTTCAGGTTCACTTATATTCAGACATACAGTGCAAGTGACACCTGAACTTCTATGCCATTGTAGTGTATTTTCTAATTAGGGAACTTCAAACTGACTGTGTGGTGCTGAGCACCACTGCATTTCCACTTGACAGTCAATTCAGGACCCTAAACAGTAACTTCAGTCTTATATTGATATTTAAATGGATTCACTCATAGACATCTGTCACTCAACTACAAGGCCTTTTTAAAGTAACACTTAATGTTAGTACAATTGTACCCACGCATTAATGTTTTCAAGGGGAAAACTGCAGAAAGGGAAAGAAGAAAGCCAATCTTCCCATGGTGGAACACCAATACACTGAAAGCTGGTACAACCTGAGATGCATTAGTCATCATTCCAATACAAGAGCTAAACAACACCTTCCTATGAGCCTTTAGCAGGAGCTGAGAACCACCACCATCTACAAAAACAATTAACAACAGTCACGAGAACAAAAAATGAGAGGGCCTCAGTCCAATTAACAATACATTAAGGAGCACTGTCCTTGCGGAACAAAGTTTGCTACCCTGCGGCGGACACCGCGCAGCAGCAATGCTCCTGGGGCAACCACCAATTCTTAGTGCCTCTCGGTATCAGCCTCGGGCCAAACAACCCTGTTCCTTTCCGCTCCTCTGGAATTACCTGCGCGGCTCCTGTAGCTCCCGACCCTCAAGCAGCCGCCGCTCCTCAGCGGGGCGCAGCCTCCATCGGGCACGGCAGCGAGGCGGACCCGGGTGGCGGCACACGCAGGGCTGTGGAGCGGCTGTCCCCTCAGCACCTTTCCTACAGCGCCGCGGCCCAAGGGTCCTGCCAGCCGCGGAGGTTGCTCTGAGAGGGGAACCGGCGACCCTCACCGTGGAGAGACGTCCCGGCTGGAATGGAGGCCGAGTCCCCATGGCTGGTGGAAACTATAGAAGGACATGGACGTGCCGAGCTGCTTTTCCCGCCCAGCCCTCGAGAGATGATGCAGCCTCAAGATGGCGGCAGCAGTGGCAGCAGGGCCATTTATCCGCCCGCCTTCCTGTGGACAGGACGGTGTGGCCTGATGAAGGTGGTGCTGGTGGAAGGGGTTTGGGCTTCTTACAGATCCTTCAGAAAAGATGCTTCAGGGATTCTTCAGGAAAGCAGTAGGGAATTATTCTGGAAGGCTCCGTGAGGGGTACAGCACTGGGCTGTGGTAAGGTTCTTGGGACACAGGCGAGCATCTATGACAGATTGTTTTATTTTTCTCAGGTATCCTTGGCAATCAGCAAACTTCAGGGCCCTGCTTTGGTGTGCCCAGGGTTGGGGCACGAGGGCTGCATGGGGTAGCTGAGGGTGGAGCAGGCCGGGAGGTAAAATGGGGTGCGGTTTCTGGCTTCAAGCAACAAGTGTGAAAACCTGCTCGTTTTCCCCCTCTCCTGACTTACATAGCAAACGTTTCAAAGCTATCTAAAATTGAGAAAACCAAACATGCATTTGCATCCATTCCTCACCAAATCCCAGTGCCCTTCGATTAGCTAGAAGCAAGGATGAATGCTGGAGCAGGTGTCCAGAGGTATCCAGAGAAGACTAATGCAGGGTGTTTACATCCTGCTATGAAGTGGAATAGTCCTTCCCATGCCAAACCACAAGCTGCTGGTTGAAACCTGACCTGAACTTCCTTGATGATCAGAGAAGCCTGGTTAGCTTTCAGCACATCCAGTTGGCATTTTCACACCTCCCCAGACTCTGGGACAAGAACCAGATGTACGATAATACAGGGAACTTTTATTGGGACATTGCTGACCTGATCCCAGGCAGCATGTATCACACAGTTCACTAAAAAAAAGATTGCTTTCTAAGTATTTCCTGCTTAGGGATTTTTTTAAGGCTTGTGTGGTCTGCATGAATCACATAAATGCTACATTTTGGCCATGTACATTTAGCTAAACCAAAGTTCTGAATCTGTTCACATAGAGGCCTTCATGTGAGAAAGCCTCATAAATTTAATGTGATCCAATTTCTTCCCTTAATATGAAAAAAAATGCTGCTTCAATGTGCACAAAGGCTGCATATTCTCCAGAATATAGTGTGTAGGGGTCTGCCCATCCTAGCTTTTCTCTCACTGACAGCGGTGACTAATCTACATGCACGTTGGCTACCAGATTAACTCCAAAGTTCCTCAGTTTTTTTGTACAGCTTAAACTGAAGCCCATAGCTTTAAAGCTACCGGCATACAAGCTAGTTAACTAGTAGTAGCTTGGGTGAGTTTACATGTCACACCTTGAGTTCCAGTGCAGAGATCTGTCTGCTGCTCATATCCCAGTGGACATTTTAATGGATGGCCATCCAGCAATGACTAACTCATGCAAAAAACACCTCTAAATACTGCATCTGTGAATAAGTGTGAAGTGCTGCAAGGCTCAGAGCAGTATGCTGGGAAATAGTCCAGCCAGATGAAAATAATCCCTCAAATACTACAAAAAACCCAGTTGCTTACAGTGCATCCCTTGACCACTGTCCAGATTAGGGAGGCTTTTCTGTCTTACATGCTCAGGGACCTGTAGCTCCTTTTAGGGTTTCTGGTAGCCAAGATGCTATTTGTACAACTTGAAGCACCAGAATTTTGCAAAAGTCAAATGCAACAAAGCAAAACTGTGATCTTCTAGCAAAAGTCAGTGAGAAGGTCTGGGAGGACAGCAGCTTCCCAGTAGGTTAGCTCCATCCTGTTCTTGTAAGGCATGTTAAGTTTCCTTAATGAAAGGGGAGAGGGGACTAGGGCAGACTGGAGGATGGCAGGTCCTGGAATCTCAAGTCATGAGACAGTACTCACTAACTGCAGAAATACTGGAAGACGGATGGATGGAGGACCAGTGCTTCTTACTTGTGATAAAACTCCTACATTCAAACAACTTTCTGTATCTTAATGCCTCCCTATCCATAGTCAAGCAAATTAACAGGAGCCGGGGCTTTCATTTTAAACAGATTTCTAACCAGCACAGCCCTGGAGGAAATACTGGGAGCAAATATAAAGTGTTCCAAGATACAGATTTGAGAAGTTCCCTTCTGTTGGTGGGAAGGAAGCATTTCTCTCACATTTCTGAAGCTTGTGGTCACTGAGTACTTGTGCCTGGTCACTGACTATGAACAGGAAGGGACAGTACTCTGACAGTTAATAAAGAAGTGAAGTTTCCATCAGGAAGAGGCAAGTTCACGTTTCAGTTCCTGAGCTGTCTCATCCTGTAAGGGTTTATTCCAGTCTTTCCCCTGTACCTATACCATAACAATGAAAGCAAAATGTTCTTCCAGTTAAAAAAAAAACAACAAACTTCAAGCAAGTAGAAAATTTCCAATTGTGCTAATGATAGAATAACTTGCAGTGAGAGGTGGCATGGTTTAAATAGAGTTATTTTTTGCAGATATTCTAGGTACCATTAATACTGAGAAGTGTCTGATTAATACTGTTGTTGCTAGAGCTAAGTGTAATGAAAGGAGTAATGAGTCATGATAGGACTGAAATGAGCTATACTGTGCTTGAAGATATTATTTATATAGATTCTAAACAGTTTATGGAGTTTAAAATACTGCTTATTGTCATTTCAGTGGGCCTTTGGACAGAGGGTTAGTAGAGCCTGTGACCATCAATTATTCATCTAAAACCTGCTTATATCAGCTACATACATAAGGTAAGTAGTGTAAATATATAGGGAGTATAAATGTATAAACTCAAATTGTACTCTCTGCAACTAGATATTTACTACAAACCATTATGAACTGGAGGTTTAATATGATACATGACCACAAAATATCCATTTAAGCTATATGGGCCCTGTGAGGGAATGTCAAAGGTGAGCAGTTCTTCTGGGTAAAGTCAAAGGTAACTGCCTTTCCAAGGTTTTAAATTGCTGGAGCCTTTGAAGGCGGGAAGTGTAGTATCAACCCTGAGTGTTGTCTTTCCCATTTCATAGAAGTATTGTTGTGGAATCTGGCATGCAGAGTGTAAGATTTGAACAACTCGATTCACTGTGTGATGCCAGTTTATCTCATCACCTAACTTAAGAAGTAATCTCTGTACTGTTAATTTTCCTTTGTAGCTAGAACAGCCTCTCAACTGCATTATGTCATGTTACTTTGTGTCTGCTAACTCTGTTAACTCACATTCCAAGTCACTAGCTCTTAGCTGCTTGCCCTTCAAAAGTCCCATTCTTGTGAAATTTCTTGGCTTCCTTTATACAAGGCTCTGGTTACTTCTTAATATGGAATTGTGACAATTTCAGTGCCAAGCATGTTTATCTCTTTAAGTACATGAGATTGTAGCCACCTAAAGCTGCAGTGATAGTGAATATATTAACAGGTCAGGGACAGATTGTCCAAGGATGGCAGCAAAACATTGGCTTGAAGTGTTTTCATTTGAACTTACCAGGGCCAGAAAGTAGCTTAAGTGGACTTGTTTTTGTTGGTTCATATGTCATTATTCACGATCAGAAATGGCAGAGAGTAGAGAAGAAATAATGGGGTTAAAAATACCTAATGTATAAACTCCCTAGTGGTAAAAGAACAGGGAGGCAAAAAAGATGAAAATGATGTGACTGCCAGTATGTGGCAATGCCACATCTTTCTGTGAACAGACTGAA